AGGTAAGATGAGTTGCTGAAGGCCAAATATTAGACGAGGACAGGACAGAAAACAGATCCTACTGTTCTCACCCCTCCAGTACTTTCTCCTCTGAACTGTAACAAACCACAGAACAACAATGGGATTTAGCTGCTGCTGACACAGTAGTCTCCTGTGTTCCACGGGAAAATTCTGTGTTTTGGTATAGGATCAAATGCACATGGGAATAAAACCTATTTACTAGCATGGCCCCACAGTTTGGTGACATGCAGTGAGATGCAAGATACCCCCAGGTGACTTAAAGGGGAATGAAATATCTGTCCTGTCATATTAGAAAAAGGTCTCACAAAGACATGGCCCCAATCTTTTGTTGTAAATTGATAAAGACAGTGAACTGCCATTTGCTGCTAAGTGACTTCTAATGATTAAACAACCTTTCTCCTCTCACCCCCTCGAGGCAGTTAGTGATAATATAAGAAAGATTTTGCACATTGTTTAGCTTAAATGGCCATCTGGCCTTTCTGCATTTCAGTAGCCTTGAACATTAAAATAAAACAATAGATAAAGAAAACCAGTCCTATCTTATCAGAGACCTGGAGAAAGTTTAACTCTGTCAGAGAATTAACCAAGTCCTTACAGCTCTTTTATTGTTTCCATCCTAATTAGCAGTCATATTCCTCAGAGCTTATGTTGTACTCCCTAAATCAAGAGAAGAAACTGTCCCTTACTGGCTGTATTAATTTTAACCATGAAATACAACTCTAGCAGTTCCATCCAGCTTCCACAGGAGGTATTCTGCCCCTGGGCAATGGAGACACAATGGAGGCACATGCCAAAAAAAGATACAGGTTTTCTGCCAAAATTAAAAAAAAAAAAAAAAAAAAAAAAAAAAACCAAACAAAACCCACCAAAAAAAAAAACCACAAAAAAAAAAAAAACTGGAATTATTGTGCAAGAAGGGAAAAGGATGCTCTTTTCAGAGAAAAATGTAATGGTCTTGGCCTAAGTCACAAACCTACTTCCTGATGCTGAGATTTCATCTAATCCCACCCCACTGAGTGGTTTCTTCATCTGCTTTTGCTCAGGGGGATAAAAAAAACAATTTCCCAAAGCAACCCACTCAAAGTCACTGGAAACAAAAAAAAAATTTTGTCTCAGCTTATGGTTGGCTTATGGTTGAATCCAGCATTTCTTCTGGGGTAAATTCCCACTCCCCTCTGCCATGGAAAAAAACTAAGAAGGGTTGAATTTGTTTGGAAAGAAGTGTGATATCCTTAAGAATGTGGCCTTGGGCTTTGAAGAAAGCAGCCAGCTAAGGATGCTTTCACCTGCAGTGCTGGAGCAAATTTGTGAGTGAAATCTCTAGCAGCAGGGAACATTTGGTGTAAACACCCTGTAAATAACAGAGGATGCACAGATATGCTGAGATAAAACCACTCAGGCTGTGTTCCCTGTGCACTTTTCATGCTGACATTGCTAGTTTGCATTTTTGTGAAAGCTGGGAGCTTATAAATGTGCTACAACATCCAGCTTTTGGGTATCAGCTGCCAGAGTGCAATAGAATCTCCAGAGTCAGGTACCTTATCCTATTTATAGCCAGAGACACTTCCCAAGGGCAAGTGGAAACTCCCACCTGGGAGCAGAGACCAGCGAGAAAGAAACATCAAAGGAGGAATGTATTAAAGTCACTTTGCATAGCCAGTGTTGGTGTTTCCATCAGCTCAGGATCCCAGGCCCACACGTTGGGGTTTAGGAGTCTGTCAGTGCTCTTTGAAGGATTGGAGCAATAACAAATTCTGTTTAACACCGTGGGTGTCAAGGTTGCATTTGATGTTATTTGTTGTATGTGGTGATCTGAGGGTGGAGAAATACCCAAGAAAGGGAAGACACTCTCCAGGCTCATCCAGGTGGGAGTCCAAACATCTCTCTCTACCTGCTGGTAGAGACCATGGCATCCTCCCAGGTGACAAGCTGAGGCACTGGGGGGTGGCTTCTTCCCATTCCTGGTAAAAATGGGCTGCAGAGCAAAATAAACCACACAGAACAGAGCAAGAGGCTTAACTGTGTTCCCTAGTTGCTCAAAGACAGGAATTTCACTTCTGTTTTCTGCTCCTAGAATTTGTTCTGGTTTTTCAACTAGCAAACACTTCAGATGAAAAGCCTGAGCACAAGTGGGAACAGCAGCCAATGCATCAAAATGAATTTTACTGTTCAATACTTGATTGAGAGGTTATCAATTGAATTTGGCAACCTGTGCCCTCTGCAGTGTTTTATTTTGCCTACAGAGGATTTTCTTTGACTGCATGCAAGTGGCTGTGGGGTACAGCTTTATAACTCCATTTACCTGTACTTTCACCAAAAACATGATCAGAAAATGTAATTATTTCAGGGCTAAATTTGAGGATAGATTTCCCTACACACTCCATATTGCACTCGATATGTGCAAGGGTGGGGAGAATCACCTTCACAAAGAATAATATTCTGTGTGAAGGAATGAAGAGCAGAAGGAGCAAGTTAGCAGATTGCCACATAATGATCTCCTCAGTACAAAATGTATGGGATAATGATAGTTATATTGCCAAGAAATAAAGGTATTCAAATTGGTTCTCAAACCTCAATGGTTAAAATGGGATATTATCATAAAATCATCAGGTCTGTATGAGAACAAGGAGTTCAACCTTTCAGGCATGGCTAATACGTGCACAGGATAATGAGTTTAGAAATTGAGATCGCTTGTTTATTTTTATGAAATGGTAATATGTTTATTTCTCTTAGCACAATAAAATCAGTAGCAATCAGGAATTTGACTGGAAAACACCTGATCTGAGTGTTTTAAATGATATTATTTTAAAATCTTAGCATTATTCAAACACACTGAGGCCCTTGTGGTGACCTAAATATTGTCATTGGAAGGTGTCTCTGCAGCATGTTAAGGAACCCCATTCTGGCTGTAACCTACCTGGCTCAGGTAACACCTGCAGAGGTGCACAGCAAACTCAGGGCAGGTACTCAGGTTCCTCAAGGGCCCACAGCTGTGTTATCACTCCTCCTGTTACTTCAGCTCCTGAGATTAAGCCCAGGCCATAGCAAAGCTTCCCAAATTCTGTATGGACACCCATATGAGTGGAAATGAGCAAAGGTGCCAATCCACACACTCCGAGAAGCAAACAAGTCTTGTTTCAGCATATTCAAGTATGCAGTAAGAAAAAAAAAACAATTTTTGGTTGAAATGATGACACTCCTAAATTCACTTTCTCCCTAAAACTTGTGTTTCAGTATGACTCACATCATTGGATTATATCCTGATATAAGATAGAATTGCTGATGTCCTCAAATTCCACTGCCATAGAATAAAAAGAGGAGTAAGAAAATCAGCAAATCCTGAGGATTGCATTGGATTGGACTCTGTACACTCCACAGATCTGAGCTCCCATGGTTCTGTTTAATTGGATCTTTTTCAAACCATCACTTTGGCAGCACTCAGTAACCTCCATGCTGTTGTTTTATTATCTCTAGCAAATAAATGACTGCAGGATTAGGCTGGATGGTCAATATTTGTGACCTTTGCTGTAACCTTTGTCAGTCTGTGCAGAAACGGGGTGACTCTTCCTGGACTGCTCCAGTCTGGGATGCCCAGAGCCACTCACTTTGCTCGCTGCCGTGGGGAACAGCTCTGTTCTCTTACTGTGGTGCTTAATCCATTTATTGCTGTCTTAAAATCGCATTTATATACAAAATTACTGATATACTTGTGTAACGCCGGAGGGGATCCCGCATTTTCAGGCTGCTGGAAGGGCACGGCTGTCTGCTCTGACCACCGCTCCTGCTACTCAGCAGTTTCCCGTTTCCAAACACTTTTTTTTTTTTTTCCCTCAAAGCGTCGTCCCCATTTTTGCAGTGCCACCAAGCGGATGGTTCCCCCGTCAGCATTTGAATTTCCCAGGTTACCACTTCTAAACAAACAGAGAATTCTCCAGTAGCTGAGCATTGTGTTAAACGCAACCCACCCCAGCAAACAGCGGGGTTGGTGCGATGGCAGGAAATGAAGGGTCGTTAATAAAAACCACTTTGATAATGCGTTTGAGGCCCTTTCAGACTTGTGAAGATCAGGCTTCGGCTCCTCAGGAGGTGGCACAACGCGGGTATTAAGGTGTGGATACAGATCTGTGGGCTCCCCGGTTCAGGAGAGACGTGGAGCTCCTGGAGTGGGTGCGGGGAGGGAGGACAGCGGGAATGGAGCATCTCCCTGCCCAGGAAAGGCTGAAGGAGCTGGGGCTGTTCCGTCTCCAGAGGGAACCTGATCTTTGTCTGTCCCTGTCTGCAGGGAGGGCTCAGAGCCAGGCTCTGCTCCAGGGGCCAGCAATGGCACCAGAGGAACGAGCAGGAGCTGATGCCCAGAGGTTCCACCTGAACGTGAGGAAGAACTTCCCTGTGCAGTGACTGAGCCATGAAGAGACACCAGAGAGGGTGTGGAGTTTCCCTCACTGCCGATATATAATATGGATATGTAAAAAGATATTCCCGAGCCGTCTGGACACAATCCCGTTCCTTGTGCTCTGGGACGTCCCTGCTGCAGCAGGCAGATGGGGCCAGATGAGCCACTGCCGTCCCTTTCAGCTCTGTCCGCTCTGGGATTCGGTGGGTGGTGGGACGGCTCATCACTATCCCTGAGTCCTGCTGGCACTGAGGGCTTTGGAAGCCCAAATGGGTGCCAGGTGTCCCCGGTCACAGGCGACCCTCAGGCACAAGCGACCCCTGCCGCCATCTTAGCACCCCCGCGCCCTCAGCGGCTTCACCTCCCTCACTCCACTATCCAATGAGCTGCAAGTATGGGCGGGGCATAACCCCAGACAGCCAATGGAAATTAAGAATTGTCATCGGGCGACCAATAAGCAGCCCGCTGTGGCGTTCCGGCGCTGCCAATCACCGCCCACGGTGAGGCCAAAGGGAGCGGGCGGCCCGCGCTGGCCAATGAGCGTTGGCGGGTGAGATTTGAAAGCGAGGCGGGGCGGTGCGCGCGGGGCTGCGCGGGGCCGGGGCCGGGACGGGTAATGGCGGGCCCGGGGGGCTCGGGGGTCCCGCGGCGGGATTTGGGAGTCCTGGAGGGGCTGTGAGCGCTCGGGGGAACCTTTTTGTGCTCTGTAAGGGGTCCCGGCGTGGGGGTCTCGGCTGGCGGTGGGCTGGCAGCGGTGCGTTGTCTCTGAGTTGTGGGAGCACCGGGGTGCTGGCGGGGAAGGGGCTGAGGGGACAATCCTGAGGCGACTCCGCACAGCCGGGCCCGGGTGTGCCCCGCAGGCTGCTCCGACCCCCGCGGCCCGTCTCGAAACCGTCGAGTCCAGGCTTTGCTCAGTCTCTCTTTAAAAGTAGCGATGTTTGCTCTTCCTGCTCTTTTTTCTCACTATTCAACCTAAAATGTTTTCCTGCTCGTTTTACTCTTTGGTTCTTAGGGTGTTGTTGGTCAAAAGTGTCTCTTTTCATTTCCTCTTATTTATTAAAATGATCAGCTTTAATGTTTGGTACTATACGTTAGCCAGTCACAAATCCTTTATGTAAGCCCTCTGTCCCTTTCTTGCTAATAGTCTTTACTTGTCTGTATTTAAATACCAATTAATCTTCTAGGCTCCTGTTTGGGCAAGATACTCCACGGGAACAGTAACCTGGGAAGAAGAGGAGACAGGTATTTTTGTTCTAAAGACGTCTTTGGGATATTGGGCATGACATACATTTTTAATGAGCAAGGTAACCTTGCTGTGCTTAAAGAATATGGCTAAAGGTACGTTTAGGAACTTTGTACTGAAAAAGGATGAGTGTGGAGACTAAACTGCTGCTTTGAGCAGTATTTATCATCCACTGGCCTCAAAAGCCTGCTGCTTCTGGGACACAGATAGTGGAGATGTATTCCCACTGTTTTCTTTATGGCTTTCTGTAATGCCATGTAATTGCTAATAATTCTGTAATGACCAATTCTGTAATTCCTAGCAGGATCAGTTCAAATGTGATTATTGGAGACACTCATTAATTAACCTCCCTTAATCACTTAAATGTAAAGTAGGGCAAATATGACCTATGAACTACAGTGGAGTTTTTTTCACTCATCATTAGCTGGCATTTTTAATCAATTTCTGAAAGCTGGAATGCAAGATGAAGGGTGAAGCCCAAGACATTCACAATTCGGGTGGTGCTGGTGTGGACCAGATCTTCCAGAATTGTGTGGAGGAGATCCAGTCCCTGATTTGAGTTTTGATTTTTATTCCCCTTTGCTCTTTAACTTCCACTGACCACTTTTTCTCTCTTGAAAAAAAGGAGTACAATGTAGTGATTTTGGTTTCTGTCCAAGCAATTTTTGGTTTCTGTTCTAAGCAATTCCAGGAGGTTGTGCAGATGCTTTTTGGTGCAAATTTCCCCCTCCATGAACATTTTCATGGAGTGGGGAATAGGGAGCTGCCACTGCCAGCACTGATGGCATCTGGACAGGCTTGGGCTGTATTCTTTCTTCCAACAGCTCAGGTTCTCTCCTTGATTGCTTTTCCTGTAAATATATTCAGTATTTTTCTGCATTATTTATATTTTGCTGCTTTTCTTCCTTCTAAGATTTGGGTTTTCCAGCTAGGCTGCTGGTTGAGTATTTGGCTTTTGTTGGCACATAGGTGGGAAGGGGATGGACACCCATTGTCCAAATCCTGCACACCCATTGTCAAGGCTTTTCAGTTCTCTGATGGTTCTTTCAGTTTGATCAGAGCATGCTGTCCTGAAATGAAGAGCCTCAGTAAATGATTGATTTACCAATTAATTAATAACTGCTGGGTGTTTAGTTTAGCTCTGTCACCCTGCTTACTGTAAAGCTGTTTTCTGTAAGTGGTGGAAGATGAGATGTGTGAGGTGAAAAACCCTTGACAAGGCAAGTTTTAGTGGGGATGCAGGAGATAACAGAATCCCAGAATGGTTTGGGTAGGAAGGGACCTTAAAGCCCATCTTGTTCCCATCCCCTGCCATGGGCAGGGTCACCTTCCACCACCCCAGGGTGCTCCAAACCCCATCCAACCTGGCTTTGAACACTTTCAGGGGTGGGGCAGCTAAAGCAGCATCTCTGGGCACCCTGTGCCAGGGCCTCAAGACCCTCACAGAGAAAAATTTCTTTCCAATATCCCATCTATCCCTGCTCTTTGTCTGTTTACATCCATTTCCCCTTGTCCTGTCATTCCAGGCTCTCTCCACCTCTCCTGGAGCCCCTTTGGGTTCTGTTAGCACAGCAAGTGCAAACCAACTGACAATTGGCTTAAGGCTTCCCCAGGGTAAAAATGATGGGAAAAATTCTGCTTGAAATAACCACTATTGTATTGCAGTTGCATCCTGGAAACATCCTGGTTCTGAATACTCTGCTGCGTGGCAAAATTCCTTGCTATCAGATAGGCCTAATCTAAATGGAATGTTGCTTCCAAGTATTGTCCTACAGCCCTGTCATTTACTTGCTCATCTCCTTAATGTGGAAAACAGCTGTGGAGAAAGCAGCCCAGCCAATCCCAGGCATGGGTGCAGTGCCCCCTCCTAATTCTGTGCCAGGCTTGGTGACCACTCAACACCCAAACTGGTCCCTGGAATGGATAAAAATAATGAGAAATTGCTGAAAGAGTTGTTGCTGAAATTGTTATTTGAGTTTTTTCTGGTCACATAGAAAAATTAAGAATTTAGTGCTTTGCTCATAACGTTAACAAATTGGAAAACAAACCATGACAGTGTTTTCCTAATTGCTGTGATTGTTGTCTAAGGTCATCAGGATGGCTGCTACTTCCCAGTTTGCCAATAGATACAAGAAGGATTTGAGTACAGAAGCCCTCAGAACCAGGGTTGCCCGCAGGAAATCCATCCTTCAGAAGGAGAACAGGCACAAGCTCTTCGAAAAGGGCCGGCAGCTGGGGCTGGCAGATGTCAATGCTCAGCCCTCCAAGGAGAGGGGAATTCCTGAGCTCAAGGAACCCAGGGAGTTGTGCTTTCAAGAGAACAGCAGTGTGAAACAGAGTAAGTAAAGAATTGCTCTAGACATTTTTTTTTAAGTGTTAAAAATTATAAGTAGGTTTAGTAGCATTATCACAGAAACCTACTAGTCAACATTTTAATTTGACAAAACGTTCAAGATTTAAAACCCTGTCAGCCTTTCCAGGTGTTAAAATCAAGACAATAAAATCTTAATACCCTCCTCACTGCTCCAGTGGTATGAATGAAACTTAGCTTTGATTTGTCTGCAGCAGCTGAAGGAAGAATGCATTTTTTTATTAATTTTCAATAGAAAGTGTCTCTATGTTTGCTTTGTCCTTTAGGACATGGAAAACTCCAGTCTAAAATACCATCTAGCATGTAACTGATGCCTGTCATGTGCTCAGCGATGGGCAATTTTTATATTATAAATAAAATTATTAATGGGTAAATGCATTGTATGATTTTATTTTGAAAATAGCTAGTTTATGACAACTTATTTTCCTTTCAGAAAATAGAGCCTGCATATATGCTGAATTCTGCCCCCTGGCTCTCCTGGATGTTTGTGGTCTAAGAAATTAATACTTTAAAATATTAACAGGTTTTTTTAGAAATACTTTCACCTTTAGTATTTTGATAGCAGAAGATTATTGGACAATAGTAATTTTTTTAAGATTATTTGAGTGCAGTCTGTATGTAATAGTATCAAATAAAATATTTAATAAATTTGTCTTGATTATATTTCATAAATTTCAACTTTAAGTGGATATTAATTTTTCAGGTAGACATAATTCAAGTTTGGCAACATCTTAAGGTTTTATTCTTTCATATAACTTCTGCCTCATTTATTCTCAGCCTGAGTTAGACTTTGGTATCTGAAGCTGAGTTTGCAATGACATTGCAATTGTTTGAATAGAGAAACTGGTACAAATAAACCAAATAAAAAGATGAGGTGTTAATTTTCATACCAGTAACTTTGCAAGTCTGTGAAATGGGAGTGAGTTTATAGTAATCCTCAGGTGGATATTTGGGGAAGACTATTTGTAAGTTGGAATTTACCATTGAATTCTCTTTTAGTGGGAAAGGTTAAAACACTTTAGAGATTCCAGTCAGTTCTTCTCTTACTTTCCTCTTCTAGCTGGGCAAAGTTTATTGAAAATTTCTGACTTCTTGTTGGCTCAAAAACCACCTTCATGATTTTGTAACACCTCTCTCTTGCACGCCTGCTGCAGAAGCAGCCCCAAATGCAGCCACCAAGAGGATGAACGAGCGCAGGGAGATGCTCCAGCGCTACAAGGAGGAAAAGGAGCTTCGCAAACTGCAGGAGCAGAGAGAGAGAGCCAAGAAAGGGGTGTTCAAGGTTGGGCTGTACAGACCAGCTGCACCTGGATTTCTTGCACTTGCTGCTGAGGAACCTGCAGCAGCAAAGCCAAGAGAGAAGGTAACAGTGGTAATATTTCATAACTAAATTAGTTGTATCTGTGTACTCTATTTGTGTACAAGATTATTTCAAATAAGCTGTTTATATTGCAAATGCTTTGTTAATGTTATGGTAAGGGAGTAATTTGGCTCATTCTCTTTTCTAAACAAAGCTGGGAATAGTATTAATATGTGGATTTTTGTATTTGTGACTTCATTCAGTTCAAAACCTGGAATGATTCATCCAGAAATAAAAGAGCTGTGTTATTTTAGAACTAATAACTTTTTCATATTTAGTCAACTCACCTTTGAAAGCTTTCCAGATTGCACACTTGACCCATTTTGTACAGACACGTTGTTTTCCACATTCGTGCTTCTTGCTCAGTCTCTGTGACAAAGGGAAAAAGAAGTTTATTAACTCTCATTTCCTTGGGGATGTTTCCAGGCAGCTCCTGCTTTCTCTGGAAGGATTACTCGGTCAAAAGCCAAGATCCAAGAAGGAAAATCTATGATACCAATTCTGATACCAACTGTATCTAAGTCCTCTATGGTTTGTTTTTTTATACGTATATATATAACTTCAGTGAATAAATTTAGAGAAAGGGATGCAATTTCAGACTCAGAGTAGTATCTTTACAAGTTTGAGTAGATCAGTACAAGCAGAAAAGAGCACAGGTTTTTCTGGATCTGTTTGTCAGTCAAGTTTTTCAAGATAACTTAAACTGTTGCTTAAATATTTTTCTTCATTCTTTTTCTGACAATTTATTAACTAGTTGGATAATGCACAATAACATACCCCTAAACCAATATATTTAAAGTTATTCTTAATGTCTCTCTACTTTTTAAAGCCCCTTGTGCCAAATAATTTGACTTTTTCCTTTATTGTAATCTAGGATAGATGAGGAAAGAAATTGGGCTACTGAATTTCTGGAAATCTGATGCTTCACAAAAAAACCTGTTTCTTTTCTCATAGGTCAGTGCCCAAGGGCAGAGCGTGCGCTCTACACAGGCAGGACATAAACAGATGAGCACAGCCAAAGTGGCTGAAAAAGAGAAAGGTATGGAAATACAGCTGAATCTGAAAGCTGGGGTTTTCTGGGGGAAAGATCCACAGGACATTTTTGGGTGTAGGAAGGAAGGAGGAGGTTTTAAGATGGCCATTCCTACCAAGGGCAGCAGCTGGCGGATTATCAAGTGTGTGGCTCCAGGGATCACATGAGCTTGTTGCCTCCATAGGCTGGGGGAAATGGAATGCAGGATCCTGACAGTCCTGGTTACTGATTATTCCCCCTGGGAGAGGGAAAAGAAACAGGTCAGTAGGCAAATTGCACAACTGCCAGATGCCTCAGCTCCTGGAGCTGTGCAAAGGTTTCTGTTTGCCTCAAGAAGAATATCACAGGTAGAGACTGCTGTTAGAAAAGAGCAAGTGTCTTCTGTGTCACTTTGTGCCACAATTACAGATATTTCTTAAGAAAACAGCAATTAAAAATCAACAACTTGTGCCACTTTTAAGGGATTAGAATACCTTGGATCAGAAACTCATCTTCAGAGCTCAGTGATATCCTTAAGTAGATACAACCAAGTCATGTGGAATGTTGATATTAATGCAAGATAGTCAGTAATTCAGAGTGAAATGACTTTCACATCATTAATATAATCAAATCAGCAAGCTGCAGACTTTTATTTAATTTCAGTAGTGCCTTTGGTGAATACTGAAAATATGTATTCATTAGTGTTTGACATAGCAATTAAAATGTTTAATTTTTGCAAAATGGTCATCCATTTATTATTTCTGTTTAAAATTGATTATTTCTTTTGTACTGAATCAAGAATATACATTATATGTACTTAAACTTCCCTGCCCATGGCAGGGAGGTTGGAATGAGGTGATCCTTTAGGTCCCTTCCAGCCCAAACAATTCTGTGATTCTTTGAAACACCAATATAAAGATGTTAATGAAGTGAATGTTTGATAAATCCAATGTTGTAGTATTTACCCAGTGATTTTTTCCCAACTTTTCATTCTACCTACAGAAACACAGCTTGACATAAAGACAAGAATAGCATTAACAGTAACCAAGTGGGGATTTCAGACAGGCAGGGGATGGAATAAAGAGCTCCCATGAAATTTGTCTGTGCGAGGAAAATGCTGTCATTTTAAAAGCCCATTAGAAACAGTGCTAAAATACAAAGATGAAAATTATGAAGATGGATAATATGGTGCATGAACTTGTCATGTATTATAAAATATTTCAGAGCAAATTAGTCTTAAGAGTACTTTGTTAGATAGCATTAAATTCTGACCTTGGAAGTCTGTTATATAATGGCCAGGGCATCACTTTGTTACACCAATGGTTTGCTTTAGCTTCCAGCTGTGCAAATAACCATGGCAAAGATATTAATCTAAAAAACTTCATCTGTGAAACAGGGAGGGCCTTGACTCTGCTTGCAGGGAGCAATGGGAAGCTTTCCTTAGCTTTGTGCATGGCATCAAACACACTGGTACCTTGAGGTACAGCTGTGCAGTAAAACCACCTCCAGTCAGGGCCTCTCAATGGATTGCCTGGATGCCAGGGCCAAGCTGTGCTCTGAACTGACCAAAACCACCCAAACCTGTTCATTCTGGCAAACCCATGCAACTGATAACTGCTGGTGCATTTTTCTGATTTCTACAAACTGGAAACTTTTGGTTATTACTTGAGTGCAGCTCCTTGTTAAACTTGGAATCTCTGGGATTAATCTCTCTTGTAGTGTTGCAGACTGCAGCCCAACCAGCCCCCAGTGTGAGAGTCACCAGAGCAGCTGCCTCTGCAGCCAGGCAGGTGCTGAAACCAACTTCTGCTACTGCTGGTAAGTGAGGCAGAGTTGTGCAGCTCAGCTGTACCTTAGACTGCATTTAAGTCATGCCAAATTATCATCTAAGAAAAGGGCTAAGTGCTGGATCACTCAGCCTCTTGGCTGGAGCTCTAGTGCAATATCTACATCAACATGTTGAAACCAACACTGGACAGTTTCCCACAAAACCCATCAGTGTGGAGCATCCATGTCCACATGGTAATTACAAACTCAAAGAACAAAGCCAGAATTGGTAAAGATTGCCACTTTGGCTGTTTATTAAATATGTTATTCATAATAATGAAGCAGGAACATCTCTGGAAGATATGGGAGCCTTTGTTTTTCAGGTGAGGAATTTGTTTACTAGAATTCAGTCCACCAACAGAATTCATATGCCATATAGAAATGAAAAATCTAAACTCAAACTGGCTTGAAACTCTCTCTTCAACCTTTTAGGAAATAAGGTGACTTTTATTTTTACTATATGGCAATATCTAAAGATTGATGACTTAATAAACCTGTTTTCTTAGTGATACATCTGTTACTAGGCTGTTAAATCCTAGGCAAGGTTTTCTTTTGAATGAACTTTTGCAATGCTATTTGTTCCCTCTAACCACCTCCCACCCAAGAAATAAAACAGTCTCTATCTTTAGCAACTGAATTTTTATAGCAGTGTTTTGGTGAAAGATTACATGAATCAGCTGCCTTTTTGACCTCTGGGAGTGTCTTTTTTTGTAGGTAACCAGTCACAGAGAAAGGCAGCAAGTGTAGGAAAGCAGAAGAAAGCTGTCAAACCTGATCCCATAAAGGTAGGTCATGTAATAGTTGAAATGGAAAAGCAGTAAAACTAATTTAAGAGCCAATAACTGTGTTATTGTAGCTGAAGTGCTCAAACATAAAAGCAGTAATTTCAGTAATAAGCTAGAATTTGGGAAGGAGTTGTTACATATTTATACTGCCATATTTTAAAAATTAAGGTCAAATTTAGTGCTTATATAGAGTTACAGGATACTGTGACTTGGAAGAGACCCACAAGGATCATCTCTGTCCAACTCCTGGCCCTTCACAGGACAGCCCCAAGAATCCCACCATGGATGTGGACATGACTGATGAATGATGGGATTACTAATCAGGATTTGGACAATGATTTAAAATAGACAAGAAGTTCTTGCATGACATATATCTGGTGTTTTAACTAGTCAAAAAATGGGCAGCTTTGCTGGTTTAATCTAGCAGCTGTAAATTTTGTGCAGTTCATTCCTTTTTGAAGTGTATTCTGAATGGATCCTTTTCCTGCTCAGGTAACAATATGAGACTCTAGAAGCTAAGAAATAAACACAATTTTAGGTTTTGAACCTTCAAAAAATAAAGCTGGAAATGCTGTTCTCTGCAAAGTAGAACGCTATTGTCTGCATGATTTACAGCTGAAGGCAGTCATTGTGGTTCTTGGTGTCTTCACTGCCAGAATTTTTTATGCATTTATGTGCAGACACTTCTGTGCAAGAGCTGTCCATGATTTTTTTCCTTCTTTTGCTCCACTCTTCCCTCTCACATCTCCAATCTCCTCTTTGTTCCTGTAACTGGAGCTGCTTTAGGGTTTGAGATTATGCAATCACACCCAAGCAGGAGGTGAGAGCACTTGTATCTTCCTTGGACAAGCACCTCTTCACAGGCAGGAGTCCCTGCCAGTTGGTAAACTCTTGCTGTAACCACAGGCAGCTCATTTGAAAAAGCTGGCTAAAAGCAAAATTCAAGGTTTACATTCCTAGCAGAGGTGACTGAAGTATAACAAGACTTTCAGTGGATTGAGGATGCATATTTTCTTGAAAAACCCCCAGAGTTTTTCTAGCTGGCTTGAGCTAACAATCTCAATTAGGTATCTCAGGAATGTGTTCTGTGTGACTATCTGGTCACTCATCTCATAAGAATGAGAATTATTGTTTAATTTTTTTCTCCTCTTTTAATTAGATTCTGTGGTGGTAACTGCACTTGTCTTGGATTGCATTCCTCAGCTATCTGCCTTTTCCAGCTTGTTTTTCAGTCTTTGGATTGGAGTATGTGCATAAACTATGATTATTCAGCAGTCCTAGTTGGATTTAGAGCCAGTAATTCTGCTCTTGAGGATTTTATCACCTTAAAGCTTTTTTTTTTTCCTAGAAATGGGAGCATTTGTCAATTTTAATTATTGTTTTGGTTGGTAAGGTGTTCTGCTTTAGCCCCTGGAGTGAATTGTTCCATTCTTTGTAGTGAAGTGTTAACTTTTGTCTCTAGAATGATTTGCAGGTGTCAAAAATGGGTTGAACTTGTTGGTAGCTCATCACTTCTGTTCAGGTGTGCTGTTTTAGGAGCTGATTTACCTTAAGCTGTTGCCTTCCTGATGGCTTTCAGGCACTCATGTTATAATTCAGCTCATGCATATTGGTTTGATGATTTGATTTGTCTGCCTATGCTGTTACAGGTCATTTCTTCTGAACATGAAGTGGAGACTAATGCTGGAGTGGATCCAGGGCTGAGAAGTTCTGCAGCTGATTCCAAACACTCAATGCCAGTAGAACTACAGCAAGAACAAACCTCAGTGGAAAACAACAATTTTTCTCCAAGGAGACCCAGAACACGCTCCTTTGCACCTCAAAACTTTGTGTTTCAGCCTCTGAGTGGATTGGCAACCTACACTGTGACACCCATGTCTCCTTCAAGGGCAAATGCTTTTTTGACACCCAGTGCTGTCTGGAAGTTTTCAAAGTCTCCAGTGTAAGAGTCTTCCTTCTAATGGGGCCTAAAATAAAACTGAACCTCTGTGGGGATGCAAAAAACTATTTTTCTGTCGAAAGATTCACTTTGTAACAAAGTGTTGTAACACCTGATCCTCATGGTTTCTGTCATTGCTTAAATGTGGACTTAACAGCAGATGTGGATATAATCCATTATTATGTCCATGCTTGAGGAGCAGCTGTCAAAGACTCTGCACTGATTTGAGTTCTCTAGTGTTGTGTGGAGGTTTGCCTTCTAAACTGTGCATTTCTGTGAAATTGGCCATATTTGATGTCACTTTCTCAGTGTGTCTTAACTAAATGTACTTTTGTTTCAGCAAAATATTTGAAAAATCCAGTGAAACTAAAGCACAAAGGCCTAATTTAAAAAGTCAAACTTCACCTTCTGTTGAAGGCATTCAAGAACAGCAAATGACCACAAGCTCGAAAGGAGGAGGTAGGAAGTTCACATTTAGTTTATGCTGATGCTTTTAATTATCACCAGATTCTGAACAAATTCCTTTCATACTTTTCAGCAGGTGAATCAGATGAGAGAACTTCCACTCAGGGATCAAGCAAAACAACTCCTGTCTCAACAGCACTTGCAGTGAAGTCAGATGATACAATAGAGCAAGAGCATGATGTGCCCTATTTCAGGTTTGGGTTCATTTGTTTCACTTCCCTGATGTTCATTTGAAGATTCTTAATAAGAAAAATGAAACTTCTTCCAATGATCAGCTTAATTTAATGGTGATTGGTGTCTGTCAAGTGTGACCTGAGCAGGCAGAAATTCCTGTTTTCCTTTTTGTACCTTAACTGCTAGGAAGGTATGTAAACTTCTGGAGACTAACACCTTGTCCTAAGAATCATGAGCTTGAAAGTAGTAGAAAAGAAATTGTACCTCAGCCACTCAGCAAAATAAAACAATCTAATCTTCAGCTCAAAGACTCTGGATTGACTCTCTGAGAGCAAAAGGATATTAACAGCTACAAGTCAGGGAATTCTCCAGATCCTTATTTTTTTCTCTACCCCTGTATTTTCAGAAACATTCTTCGGACTGAGAGGGAGAGGCTGCTGTCTCAGTGTCTGCAGTGGGAAGGGAACCTTGAGTTGGACATTCCAGAGGATGGTAAGAATGAGCTGCAATAGGCACCAGAAGGGTGGTTCTGGGAACTGAATGGGACACAGAGAAGGACATGTATGTATTTTTTGCAAAATAGCAAAAAAAAATCTGCAGAGCTATACTAGAGGAAGTTTAGAGTTGGATCTTCCCCAAGATACAAAGTCTCCTATTCCTAAAATTTGTGTAGCACTTGCAGTGATGGTGATTGATAAAGTGAACAAAGTGCACATCAAAATAATTGTTCTATTGCCGGTCTGAAGTGTACTTAAATGTAGGAACTTTAACCAAGCTGATTTTTAAAAATAAGATTATTTTTTAATGTGGAATAAATGCCCTTATCTGGGAAAATGGAGATTACTCCAGCAATGTTTATCTTAAGACTTGAGAGAGTAATTTTTTTTTGAAAGAAGCAGCTTCAGAGCATTTCAGTGGACAGGAAAGCTCCATCTGAATTGGATTGCAGGTTTGCAATAGGTGGGACAACAAATTCCAGACTCCTCAAACATTTATCCAAGACATCCTGTATTTTTTTTTCTTGTTTCTACCAGCTAAAGACCTGATTCGCTCCACAGTTGGTCAGACAAGGCTGCTCATAGGAGAAAGGTTCAAACAGTTTGAAGGACTGGTTGATAATTGTGAATTTAAACGAGGTGAAAAAGAAACAACATGTACAGACCTGGATGGATTTTGGGATATGATTCATTTTCAGGTATGTACTTGCATGTTAACTTAGTAGGATAAAACTGATGGAGTTGTTTACGAACCAAGTATTGAAACTTTTTTGGTTCTATTTTTTTATCTTTAATGTAAAAAAATGCGGGTCCTTGTTTTAACACCTTGTGACAGTGAATAGTTGCAGTTGGGATGAGTTGTAATTCATGAACCAGTTCTTCTGATGTGTTTTCTTGTGGCCTGTGTGCTTTGTCTGTCTCTGGAATGAATGTTTGGTTAAATCTTACTCTGTTTTGGAGTGAGGATAGTCACAATGTCTACTTCCCAGTGTTTGGAAAATTCCTGAAGCTCACCTGAAAAGTAGGGGTTCCATGCTGCAGTATGAGAATAATGCAGAAATTACAGTAACTCTATTTAGGGCTGAGCTTAGGTGGTAGAAAACCTTCATATCTTTTCCTCTGTTAATGCTTTCTTTAGTTTCAGAATGAAATATAACCTGAATTATCAAAAGAGCTCTCAACAGTATTTGTAAATCAGCACTCAACAAAGGAGCTTGTAAGTAGTTAAATTAAATGCAGAGGTGGATTTGATATGGTCCTAGTCACAGGTTTTGACTTCTCTGCAGAAAGCATAAGAGTTTGATCTGCTTCTTCAGAAGTATTTGAGAGATATTTCCTGCAGGATGGAAGACTGTGCTTGTTTGAGTAAAGTTTATTTTACAATGTATTTTTTTGCTTTCCTTAAATGCGACCGACAGATTGAAGATGTGAATAAAAAATTTGTTAATCTGGTGAAGCTTCAAGACAATGAGTGGCAGCCACTTGATGTCCCAAGCAAAGCAGTTGCTAAGGTATGAATAGCCCCTGAAGCACATCTTTCATGGTGGCTTCTTTAGATATGTTGAATATTAAGTGAAATTCCTCTCAGGATGCACCCTTCTCCCTCACCTCTCTTGTATTATTTGGTGGGTTTTGTCCTAGTTGCCTCTTTTGGCTGGTAAGATTAGAACTAAGAATTAACAATTACTTTTTTGGAGTCATTGTATTCTTTGCTAGTAAGACAAATCTCTTAAATTTAGGATATAAACTTACTCTTCAGATATAAAACGATTTATCTGGGCCACTGACTTAACTGGAAAGTAAACCACACAGGAATTTGGGAGTGACTGCCAGTTTTGAGCAGGGAGTGCTGGATTGTAATGGTGTCCCATTAAGTCAACACCATGGGTGGCTTTAAACTGCTGCTTCTCTAAGCACAAATGGATCTGACACTCTCCAAAATAAGTTAGTGCTTATTGCAAAATAAGCTGTAATGTGAGTTGGTTTATCTACTCTTTGGTTTGAAATATATAATTGCTTCTGAGTGTTGAGTTGTATTTGCATTGCCTAAACTCTGTGCAGTTCCTTGAGACTGCTTAACTAATCATAACCTTGAGATGAAGGTGGATAAGAAACTTCAGGCATGGGAAAACAGAGGGAAGGTTGTCTGTGGGAGCTGCCCCTAAATACCAGGACTCTTCAAATGGTACAAAATAAAACTTCTTTGGAAAACTGAATGCCAGGAGAGGCTTCACTGAATGCCTGGAGTCTGTCCTGTGGTTACACTCTGTCCCTGCCACTAGGAGTCCCTGCATCCCAGTGCTTCCAAAATCTTACTGAATTTATTAGGGAAAAAAGTTATATTGAGGATTTTTGAACTGCATGTTCATTTGAAAAAAAAATATTAATGTTGTCATCACTTTAACATCTGGATGGCAGCCCAAGATATGCTGGGGGTGGGCAGAGGCCTTGATGCATAAAATTACAGAATTGTTGAGGTTGGAAAAGTCTCAACTCCCAACACTGGCAATGCCACCACCAACCCCTGTCCCCAAGTGCTACATCACATGGCTTTCAAATCCCTCCAGGAATGGGGACTCCGCCCTTCCCTGGGCAGCTGTGCCAGCGCTGGACAAGCCTTTCAGTGAAAATATTTTTCCTGATATTCAATCCAAACCTCTTCTGGTGCAAATGAATCCAGTTCCTTTCCTCCTGTTCCCTGGGAGCAGAGCCTGAATCCCAGCTGGCTGCTCCCTCCTGTCAGGGAGTGCTGCAGAGCCACGAGGTCCCCCCTGAGCCTCCTTTTGCTCCTTGCCGTGTCTGTGTTAGCAGCACCTGTGTAGAGGTTCATGTGGAGTTGCTCCTCTCCAGAATTTCCAGGTGTGACCCAGCTTTCTTACCATTCCAGAAAAAGGCAGTTCCAAGTGGAGTGCCCAAGCCCAAGGTGGAAGAAGCTGCCAGAGCTGCTGCCCGGAGCCGCCTGGCTTCTGTGAAAGCAGCCATGAGGGACAAAATGAAGAAGGGGCCAGCTGCTGAGAGTGCACATCAGGAGAGGCTGCCAGAGGCAGAAAAAGTGGTTTTTGAAGCAGGATTTTTCAGGATTGAAAGCCCTGTGAAAAACTTTTCAGGTGGGTGAGGCTTAATCATGATTTCTGTGATCTGAAAGTACCAAGGAGAGTTTAATGCATTTCACTGGGGAGAGGAATTGTGCTGTTTATACTGGCTACAACTCCAGGACTGGACACACTGTTTCAACCAGTGACTGATTACATCAGGGCTCCAAAGTAATCTGGTGTACATGAATGTGCTGATTTGAGTGGTTATGGCAGCATGAAATCCCTGCTTAGACAGAGGTGAAATAGCTGTTTCAGGTTTTTCCAGCATAAATTTCATAATGAAATTCTAATCTGAGCGTTCCCAGATTCAGCTGATGAGCTTCATCATCAAAGTCAATGCCAGCTCACATCCTCTAATTGTAGGACAGGATTTGGGATTTTTTTTAAAACTAAACTTCTTGCAGTGCTGTCTTCAAATCTGCAAATAAAGTCCACTCATAATCTGTGCTCATGGTTAATAAGATTGTAACATAATCCAGTTTTCTATAAAAGCTGTTTAATAGTTCAGGTTTTTTAACAGGTGCTCAAAATACAACTTCATTTTCAGCACTTTATCTTAATGACATCTATGTGCAGCCAGTATTTCCAATACTTCTGCTTCTTTCACATTTCTAGTTCATAATTTGATTTAAAATTCCCATTTTTTGGCGCAGATCTCTCTTCTCATGACAGAACTAACAGTTTTTTTCATGTGCCTCTTGTTAGGAGGGAGCTTCTGAAAAGCTTTGAGCAACACTGGATTTAAGCCAACTCCAGCAGAGAATCTGTTCTAAATCTGTGTCTTTTAAACTGTTAAAATTGCCTAATTTGAAAGATGGAAGTTAATAATTTCAATTTCTCTTTGCAATTGTATGTAACATTTCCATCTTGTATGAGATGGAATATTTGTATAAGATGGTTCAAATATTGGATAATATTTGTATAAGATGATTCAGCAAGCAGAAAACAATTGTGTCCCTGGTTAGAATCATAATGATCAGTTCATTTCAGCTTCTGGAAACTGATGTAGGAATGAAATATTAAACACATTTTCTAGGTTTGCTTCCAAGGACCCCTGGAAAATTGGCAAATCCAAGATCATCCACTAGATCTTTGCTTGCTTCTCCTCTCTGTGGCCCTGAGGATGCAACTGCAAAACAAACCCCATCAGGCCTCAAAGGCTTCCACCCAGCACAAAGTTTGAAAATGGACCAACTTCCCACTGAACAATCTCCCCCATTGGATAAACTCCCTGATGGCCTTGAACAAAGGTAGGCATGTTAAAGCAGCTTTTAATTAACCTTGCACAAATCATTTTAGGGTTGGAACTGAAAGACATGATGTTAAAACACATTAAATGTTCCCTTTTGTTTTGGCAATGATAAAGTTTGCAAGGTACTTGTGACTTTTCCTTCCCTTAAGCAAATATTAAGAGCTTTGCCCAAATGTAATTTTGCTGCTGGGGTAGAAGTTTGTTTGCCCAGGAAGTTTGAGTTTGATGTAGCTCACCAGTGCCAACCAAGGCAGCAAAACTGCAGAACAAATTGTAAGATTATGGACAAGTCAGAAGGTGATTGATGAAGATGATTGAGAAGAATGAAAATGTTTTGGTTTCTCTTCCAGCATTTCTGTGGTTGCAGAAGAAATGTGTCTGGTTGCTGGCACAGCAGAGGGAAATAAGGTAAGTCATGCATTGTTCATGGATGTGCTTTAAATACTCTGTTTTTACTAGCAAAGGAAAAATTCTTTTGATTACCCCAGACACTTGGACTTCTGATCAAATCCTCCCTTAGAAATCTTGTGGTTTCCTCAGGGTGGTGCTTTTTACCTCTGAGAGGACAAAAGTAAGGACTGCTGCAGTTTGGGCACCTTGTCTTGCTCTTTAGAACTGAATTTGAAGGTCCTGGCTGCTCCAGGAGGACACTTGTCAATTGGACAAGCAATCTTCCTAGAAGTCCACCACCTCCTGTTTTCTGGTGTGGATTTTTTAAATGCTTGTGCATTTATGGGCCCTGACTAAAAGCAGCAGCACTCAGTCCTCAGAGCATCCTCCACAGCAGAGCACTGGGCTCTTAATCTCCTTAAAGGTATAGCAGGAGGTAATCCAAGTGTCAGAAATCCATGTCCTGAAATGTCCAGGCAATGGTGACATTGCCTGTGTTTGAGTAGCCTTAAAAAAGCAGGAATGTGGCCTCTAATTCAGATGATACTGTGCTACCAGTGGAAGTCAGTGCTTTGGAGTCCATCACACTTTAGTAACTTTCATTGGAAATAGTCTTTAAATTTTATTTGTTACTGCTTGACTGCAGCAGTCATTTCCCCTCCCATTCCCCTACATGTAATACATACTTTTAAAAATCCTTCTTACTAATTTTTTATTATGGCTTTTACTTCATCTTTTCTCTATTAAAATGAGAGTTGGTGATTTCACTCTCTGGGGAAACCTTTCAGTGCTGCTGATGGGTTTTCCTGGAGGAAAAGTCACCAGATAACACTTGAAGTTCAAAACCTTCTTTCCTGTGGAAGAAGTTCCCTTATACTGTCAGAGGGATTTTCAGACTTTAAAGGGTGTTTGGGATATGAGTCACAGCCTTAACCCTGAGCCTTGTACAGTGCTTGGAGTTAAAACTCCATCTCTGCTGAGCTGTCCATAAAATCTGTAGGTTAGATGTGTGGACTTGGTCTGACATAGTGAGGATGTGGCTGGGAACAGAGAAAATCCCTGTTTTTCAGGTCCTGGGAAATTCTAGCAGTGAATCAAAAGCAGTGGATGGCATGGAAGAGATGGAACTGTCTGAACAGGACAAGGACAGACATCTGTCAGAAGCTGCAGAGCAAGGACAAGACATCATCATGTGCAGCCCAGAGAAGGAGACCAGCTCTGCTCAGTCTGGAGAGTCACAAATGCATCAGACAGGTGCTTATGTTAGAGCTGCATGGTGCAGCTTGGGTGGCATTGCTGCGGCCTTCTGGTTATCCTAGGGATCCCTGGTAATCTGAATATTACTCTTTGAAATCAGATTGATTTGTGTGTGCTGTTAGATAAGCCTCCCTTAGCTGGTTGCACACAGTGTTCCTGGATTCCTCTGTACAGTTTCTGAGGGATATGTGAAGCAGAAAGCTAATATAAAGCAATAAATACAGTTTAGAGTTTGAATTTCTTCTTTCAATAAATACAGAAAAGAATATTGTTTTTTCATCTTTGGCAGCATCAGACTAACTTGTAAATTACATACTTATTTTTCAGATGTTTCATGCAGTGATTTGACACTCATTGACAGAAATCCTTTTGATATGGTAAGTTGACCTTCAAGTTTATTTGACTAAGGCAAGCTGCATGTTGCAGGACTGTTCACCTTTGCTGCAAACTCAGTTACTGCACAAAGAAAATTAAACTCTTAAAGATGTTATCAAGCCAATTGATGTAGCTTTAAATACAAACCACTCTCCTTGCTGGACTCACACTGGTATTCCTTATTGTACATGATGAGTGTGGGGTGAATCAAGACATTTGTAGCAGGACAATGTCTGATTCTTCTCAGATTGAGCCTTTAAATTGTGTTTCTTACAAATTTCCTTGTAGAAATTCCTTTTTTTTTTTCTTCCTGGAGTTTGTAAAGTCTACCCCAAATCTTTTTTTAATCACCTCAGCATTTAGAGCTGGAAGTAACATTCAGCAGGGAAAAGCAAGTGTGCAAAAGCTTTCACATTTAATACCATTAATAGAATTTGGGTGAAGGTTTTCTTGTGAAAAATTCTTTTTTAAAATATGTATTACTGACTTGAGTAAGGAGTGTCTGTCTTCAACATGGACAATGTGTAATCACTTTTTATTTTATGCCTGGGAAATAAGCTTGCAGAATTACTTTTGGGGAAATCGGAGTCCTTCCAGTGCTCTGTGGTTTAAGTGTTTTCAAACTCTGACTCCACACTCTGGCTCCTCCCACAGCCGATGCTGGATGCTGAGCTTCCCTTCACTCCAGTCAAGACCAGAGCCCAGAAGTTTGCAGCAGCTGAAGTATTCTGTGACCTCATCATGTTTTCTCCTGTTGGTCCCTCTGGGGATCAATGAAAAGTGACTTTAAATGCAAAATGTGTAAATGCTATGAACAGGAAGCCCACAGAGGGTATCTGGAACACAATCTGCTACCCTTGGGCTGTGTTGAGAGAGGAAGAGTACCCATGGTAATGAATCTGATAATGGGGTTTGTATCATTTGATGGTGCAGCTGTGATGCACCAAGCTCTGCTGTACATCAGTAGTGGGCTGTGTTCTGGTGATCCCTGCTGTGTCCTCTGGCTGTAAATTCTGACTGCAACCCACAGCATTTTTATGTTGGTATCATTTAATGTATTTCCTGTCTCCTCCAGGTTGTAAAACTGTTCACCTTTAAGCTTTTCTACCCTGACCTGACTGACCTCATGGCTTATTGTTATTACAGGGTGCCCACCCCCGAGCTGTGCCTGTATCTGGGGTGAGACCCAGGCTGTTCCCTCCCCAGAACACTGCCATGCTCTGGGGGTACCTCTGCACCCCCAGGCTGCAGTGCCTGGTGTGTTAACACCTGCCTCAGCACCAGCTCTGGCAGGGTTGGATGCATGCAGTTCTTTCCTGGGAAGTTTTCCTGCTGTGTAACAACCACTGGATTTGTAATATCAGAAACTAACTCAGAACAAGGATTTCTAAGTCAGATAATACCTTTTCTTGGCGTTGTATTGAAATAGGCATTGATCTTATTTCCTATAAGGATGCAGTTTTCTATTATCTTAAGGACCCATGTTTTCTACTTGTGTTTGACATGTTTATGCTCAGTCTCTTCTCTCATCTTGTTCCTTGTGCATTCCCCATCCAGACTGTAAAATATTTCTGCAGAAGGAGCATGCCGGTTCTATAGACTGTGGATTTGAGGAGTAGCATTGCAGTACTACCAGTTGTTGTATTTTTAACAAATACCTCACTGGGCTTCTTCTTGTACCGGTGACCTGAGTGTAAGACACACATCCTTCCACCAGCCTTGATCCCAAATCAAGCAGAGATTTCAGTCCCTCAGCAGAAAGTGTTGCTGCCACTGCCAGGGATTAAGTTTTAACCTGGAAGCTGTGTATACTGATTACACTGAATAAAGAGAGGAAGCTGATGTGTGCTGGAATCCATTTTCTTCATTTCTAAACTCCAGTTCTAGGGATCCTTTCAGGGTTCTTTTAGTGACTTTCCTGCTGGGGAATGGTTTGGGCTGGGAGGGAACTCAAAACCCATCCAGTTCCAGCCCCTGCCATGGGCAGGGACACCTTCCACAGACCAGGTTGCTCCAAGCCCCTTCCAGCCTGGTCTGGAGCACTGCCAGGGATGGGGCAGCCACAGCTTCTCTGTGCTGCTCTAGACTGCTGCATCTGCTGCAGGACTCTGCTTGTAACTTGGCACTCAAAGTATAAAAGGAGTCACTGTGATAAAACAACATGGGCCACATCAGGGAAAGCTTTAGAAACTTCAGTGGTGGCTGTTGCACTGTTCTTGTTTTCCAGACGAGATTGCAGTGACTCATAGCAAATGTAATACTTCTCTTTTTTTACCACCCTGACTCACAGGGTGAGCTTCCAGTAAACCTCCCCACCCTCTTGACTCACACAGTGGTGATGAGTGGGGAGAGGACAAGCCTCGTGACCTGTTCAGGGAGTACCTAACACTCGTAGGGATGGGATCTCCCTGGGCTGGGAAGTGTTGCTGGTTGGGCCCCAGAAATAAAGGACAGGGATGGCTTCTCCAGCCACAGTCTAGCAGAGAGATTTTGCTTCCCCCACCTCTGAGCCCTCTCCTGAAATGCCTCATCCTGATCAGGCTTGGAGGCTGTCAGGTTTCCTCTGTGCTTCCTTAGAGGATTGCTGCCCCTGTTCACAGGGCCAAGGGCAGAATACCACAGGCTGCTTTCCCAAGCTCCCCTCCACAGAAATCAAACTCCTCCTTGCTGTCTCTACAGCAGGAATTCAGCTCTCCACATCAAAACTCAGCTTGCCCGGAGCGCGTCGTGTCTTTCGAGATACTATTAAACCAAATTTTACAGGTCAAATGTTTTATTACCTCACAGTGACGTGGTGAGAAGGCACTTGTGTCACACCCTACAGGACTCAGAGTTTGCCCAGAGCTCCCCTGGTTATATCATGGTGGGCAGGACGCTGGTGAGGGCGATGTCCCCCCCGATGCAGAGCTTGGTGACCTCGTTCAGCCTCTTCTCGCGGAAGTTGTACTGCAGCAAGTGTGCGTCGTTCACGGCCACCTTGAAGTGATCTGTCTCACAGAGGACCTGGAGCTGCAATAAAAACCCCAAATCAGCCCCAAAACCCTGCTGGATTTGTTCCAGGAGAAGGTTTAAGCCACACACCCGAGCAGGCTGGCACTGGCTGGAGGCTGCTGCCACTGAGTCCAGCCCTGGGGCATGTGGAGGAGCTGGTGCAGCAGCTCAGCTGCAACACCAGCGACCTTTGCCTTCCCAAAACTCTCCTGTGCTCTCCCTCCTCCGTGTTGCAGCCCAGTTTCTGCCTCCTCATCCCTGTGCCAGTCCCTCAAAGCAAGGCTCCCATATTGTGACCCTCCTTTGCAGGAAAACACACCTCGTGAGGAGCTGCCAGCGGGGAAAACATCTTACAGAAACCTGTCTAACCACTGCACAACAACAGTGTAAATAAGGAGGGTTTCATAATCCGTGAAGGGGGGAGAAGTTATGCCCTGGGCAGCTGGAGCTGCAGGAGGGGTCAGAAGAGCTGGGAAAAAGCGGCGGCACCCCCCTTGGGGGTTGTTTCTTTTGCAAAGGCTTCCTTTTCTTTACACAGGTCTTGCTGCCCAAACCCTCTCACTGCTTCTGGGGCACTGAGACTGAGCTGGGATGGGTTTTTCTGGTACCTTGAAGGGTTTTCCAGCTTCAAATGGAAACTTGGAAGTCCTCTCCTCCTTCCCCCAGGTATTTTGAAACATGGAATTGCAGACAATGACTTTCCTGAAGTCTTCATTGAAGCGGGGGTTGAAGTGGAAGGCAACGTCATTCCCTCTCTTGAAATCCAGTGAAAACCTGCAAAAACAATAATGGAATTGCTGCTTTTGCTACAAAAATTCTGTTTCAGAATTCCCCTAATTCTGTGACAGAACTTCCCAAAAATAGCAGAGAGGAAACCCCACAGAGCAACAACAGAGCGTTTACACGTTTGTTTGGTGTAATATTTGATATTACACCAGGCAAGGGTTATTCAGGAATGGAAAGCAAATTCCAGCCCCCCTGTTCCACCCATCTGTGCCCCATGGAAGCCCCCCCACCCTCGGAGCTGGACCCCCCAGTACCTGTCTGGGTTGGGGTTCACAGTCCCAGTGATGGTGATGAGCAGCCGAGGGATGAGTCCTGCCTGCAGGGGCAGCTCAAAGGGGACTTTCTGGGAGACAACAGGAATTTGGTGTCAGCAAAAAATCATATCAAAGGCCTAGTGCCACCCCTGGGGACAGCCAGCCCCAGGCCCCTCCCGTGGCCAAGCAAAATCAGCCACCGAGGACACAGAAACCCTCATAATGATGGAGCCATTACCATTGGAGGGGTTGGTCCTCCCTGAGGAAGAGCTGGTCCTCCCTGAGGAGGAGTTGGTCCTCCCTGAGGAGGAGTTGGTCCTGCCTGAGGAGCAGAAGGCCCAGATCCAGGGCCACTGGATGGTTGTCCTGGGGCAGGAAACGGCCCCGTTGTTGGTGGAGCTCCAGGGAATGCTCCAGGTGCTCCTGGATATGCTCCTGGTCCTGCTGGTCCTCCAGGATAAGCTCCAGGATAAGCTCCAGGTGCTCCAGGGTATGCTCCTGGTACTGCAGGGTATGCTCCTGGTGCTCCAGGATAAGCTCCTGGTGCTCCAGGATAAGCTCCTGGTGCCCCAGGACAGGCTCCTGGTGCTCCAGGATAGGCTCCAGGTGCCCCAGGATACCCTGGGAAGGCACCAGGAGCTGCTGGTTGGTTCCCCCAGGAGGGCCAGCCCTGGGCTGGGGGGGCACAGGGGGCCGGGTTGTTGCTGTTGGCCAAGGCATCAGATAACTGGGGACAGAGGAGAGGACAAAGGTCAGCTGGGGGAGATTCCTGCTGGGATCACACTGAGGTCTCCAAAGTCCACCTTTGGTAGCCTGCAGCGTGGCCAAGGGCAGGAGCTCAGCTCTCAGCTGCTCCCTGGGCTTTTCCAGAACACTGCTGACAGAACCACAGAGGTTTTGGGGATTGAGCAGCTTAGCAAGGACCTGTTCCCTCCCATCCCAGCCCAAGGTCTCTGCTTCAAGACCACAGCCACAGCCCCCACAGATCTTTAAAGAAATCCATACTTACAGAGAAACCGTCGGACATTTTTCCTAAAAAAAAAACCAAACAAACAAAAAGGAAGCATCAGTCATTCTTAACCTGCCCCATCCAAAAACCAGAGAATTTTTGAGGGAATTACAGTTCAGAGTGGCAAGTGATGGGAATTGCTGAGTTGCCATCACGTACCTGCTCAGCAGAGCTGACAGCTGTGGTGCCAGAGAAGAAATCCTGTCCAACACCTGTGGGATAAACAGGAGGCACTGCTGTGAGCAGCCTGAATGCTCGGGGTGGATCCAGCCTGTCAGAACTCAAAGTGTCCCTCAGACATTTTTGGAGGTTCCAGGCCCTGGTCAGAAGCATTTGAGACCCTGGCAGGCAGCTGCAAACAGCTGTGATTTTGAGTTTGAGCCATGGAATGATTTACCAACCTTGCAGGAAGAACAAGCAGTCAAAAAAGTTTAGATATTATAGTAGAAGTAGTTACAAAGTAGAGGGAAGAGTTTTTGAGTGCTGTACAGGGGGGTTTAAGTTTTGTACATGGGGGTCAGAGGTTTTAAGATCGATTTGGGATTTGGGCCTGCCCTGTCCTCCCTCTTTCTCCTTCCTTACCTCCATGTTCTTGGTGATGTTGGCACTCACAGGTTGGTTTAGAGTAGAAAAGCACTTTGTAATATAGGTAGTAGGTATTGGGGAAAAACTATAAACATGTAACACATAATGTACCATATAAAATATAGAAAATCACCATTTAGTATAGGTAGTAGGTATTGGGGAAAAACTGTAACCATGTAACACGTAATGTACCATATAAAAGAGAGCAGCAGCCCTGGGTGGGGAGAGAAGAAGCAGTCGGGGTCAGAGAGGAAGTCAGGGTGTGTGTGTGCCTCTGCCTGAGCTGTGAGCAAACCACAGCAGCCCCAGAAGAAAATCTTTTAGATAACTCACAATAAACTGCCTTGAGACCAACAACAGAGACTGCTGAGCCTTTCCTTGGAAGCTCGGGTTGGAGGAGAGACTTTTCCACCACACAGAGCCACCCCTGACCCAGGGTGAGCTCCAGCACCAGCCCAGCCACCCTCGGGAGGAAATCCACCACCGAGCTTACAACACTCCCAGTGTTATCCACTTCCCCAGCCTTGAGGCACCATCCAGGATTTCCATTTCCATTAAAAAAAAAACCCCAAATGGGATCCCTGGGGGATGCAGGCACAGCATCAGCCAGGAGCTGCAAATCCAGCGCAGCACATCGGGGACATGCAGCCACCCTGTGACACTTGGGACGGCCTGGAATGGGCAGGGGAGGGTGGCAGTCACCCATCCAGGTCCCCTTTCCTCTCCCATACATCACAACTGTCCCATTCCAGCCGGAGGGCACCGTGGGAGGGACACAGCGGCTCCGGGCCAGATAAAAGCTGCTTTGCAAGTTTTGTGAGTCCACAAAACACGCAGCAAACACACACCTGCCTGTGCTCAGGAATAGCCCGAGCTGGGTTCCTCCCATCAAAGGGAGCATTCATAAGAGAAGGAAAAAGGGAGAGCCAGAAACGAGGGAAGAGAAGGAAAAAAAAAAAAATCCAAATTTAAAACAGAGAAGGCAAATTCTCTTTGAAAGAAACATTCGGATGCACAAAGCCTGCAGGAGGTGTGGCTGCCCTGCCTCAGGAGTAACAAACCCCCAAGTTTCACAGCTAGCAAATCGCTTCTCTTCCTGCAAAACAATCATTCTCCTGAGCCCACGGGGTTTTTAAGGCAGCCTTCCCAGCAGAATCCAGAGTGTTTGAGCAGCCCATATCTCCCAAAGCTTTTATTTGCCTTCTGGGCTCTTTCTAAAGCCAGAGTTTGGGGTGCACACACAGCCAGGTCAGGTGTGCTCCATGGTGTGCTCCTTGTGCTGCTCCAGGGGACGTCCTGCATGATCCCCCTGGAACACCTCAGGGAGCAGCAAACCCCAAGTTTTATCCCCTTAGGCACCCTTGGGACAAGGTGGCCAGACCCTTGTGTCCCCCAGACAGATCTGGGGACACGTCTGGACAGTTTTGGAGTCTGTAACCAAAGTCCCCAAACCCCACTAATCCTCTGCAGCCAGGCGTGGAGCCCGGTGTCACCTCCTCTCTGTCACTGCAGTGCTGGAGCTCCCGGAGCTCTGGAAATGCCCTCTGGGTTATCTGGTTTTCTCCCACTTTTTCAGCAGTGCCCCAGCGCTGGATTGCAGAGAATCACAGCATCAGTGGGGCTGGAAAAGCCCTCTAAGCCCATGGAGCCCAACCATTCCCCCAGCACTGAGTCCCCAAGTGCCACATCCACGTGGCTTTTAAATCCCTCCAGGGATGGGGACTCCACCACCGCCCTGAGCAGCCGTGTCAGGGCTGGACAAACTTTTCCATGAAGAAATTTCCCCTAATATCCGCTTAAACCTCCTCTAGTGCAGCATGAGACCATTTTCTCTCATCCTGTCTCTTGTTCCCGGGGAGCAGAGCCTGAATCCCTCCCAGATCCATCTTCCTGTGAGGGAATTGTGGAGAGTGAGAAGGTCCCCCCTGAACATCCTTTTGTCCAGGCTGAGCCCCTTTCCCAGCTCCTTCATCCACTCCTCATGGAGTACTTGAGCTCTGATTTCCAGCAGCATTTGGGCAGCTGAGCTCGAGTTTACCTGAGCTCTCTCTGTCTCAGCCCAGGATCAGCTGCAGGGAGCATCCCAGAGCTGACCCCAAACATTCCCTATGTTCACATTAAGCAGAAAAAGATTTCTATTTGGGAAAGAAACACCAGTTCTCTCCCCTTCGGTGATATTCCTGCAGAACTCAAACCTATTCACTCCTAAACGCAACTGCCAGAACAGAAAAATAAA